ATGTCTTGTACGAGTGGCGCGGAGCTCAAAATAAATCCAAAATAATCGTTGCGGTATTTTTGGACTTTCAAAGAGCTTTCGAAACTATCGACCAAAAATTGTTAATAAAAAATTGTCAAAATATGGAGTAAACGGTACACCATTAGATTGGTTTGAAAGTTACTTGAGTAATAGAAAACAAGTCGTAAAAATGGGCACAACAATTTCGAACGAGTTAAACAATGATTTGGGAGTCCCTCAGGGTTCAATTCTAGGTCCACTTCTATTCATTTTGTACATTAATAATATAGTCAAATGTTTGAAATATTTTAAAACAAAAAATTTCGCAGATGACACACTTGTTTACATAATTGCTGATTGTTGAGAATTAAAGTAAAGATGAGAAATAAAAATGCGTTGCGTACGATTTAACAAATTTATTCGATGTTCACAAACTCACGTCTACCATAATACTGAATCTTTCTTCGCTGTGGCGCGGCTATTTATTCTATTCTAAATACGCATATGGCTGCTTGATTTTTTCACTCTTAATTCTGGTTTTCTGTTCAACTTTGAACATCCTCCCCCGCTGGCCCGGCCTGGCTCGATGCTCTGTCTGGTCCAACTGGAAGCTGGCATAGTTTGACGATTGGCCGCCGATAAGTGTGTCCTCTGCTGGTTAAATCTGCCACTCTGACGTGGCCATCGTCACCCTTTATGATGTTTGTCACCCGTCCCAGAGGCCATTGTGTTGGTGGCAGTGTGTCAGTGGCGATTAAAACTATGTCGTTGATTTTAAGGTTTGGTTGGCTATGACGCCATTTGTTGCGTTCCATGAGCGTGGTCACATATTCGTTGGACCAGCGTGACCAAAACTCCTGCGTCATTTTCCTCATTAGCTCAAACTTCTTGAGCCTGTTGGCTGCTGTTGAGGTGTAATCGCGACCAAGCGGCGCGATAATCGGCTCTCCCACCAAAAAGTGACCCGGCGTTAGTGCCAATTCGTCGGTGGCATCGTCGCTTAGTGCAAGCAGTGGTCTGGAATTCAGGCAAGCCTCCACCTGCGTAAGTAACGTTGCCAACTGCTTGAGGTGAGCCTTGGCTCTCTTTACGGCAGCCTCGTGCAGTCCGCCCATGTGTGGAGCAGACGGAGGAATGAATTTCCACTGTGTTGTGGTCCCGTTTTGCATGCTAAGGCTTCTCCAGGTGCTGTGTATCCGCTGACATTCATCTGAATCGTCCTGGAATGTTCTCCGAATTTGTTGCTGTTCATTTGAGGCTCCCTGAAATGTTGTGGAGTTGTCAGCAATCAGCACCCTGATCCTCCCCCGCCGGCTCGAGAATCTTGTATATGCTGCGATGAATGCCTCTGTCGTCATGTCTGATACGAGCTCTAGATGTACCGCTCTGGTGCGTGTACAAACGAACACGGCTATGTAACCCTTGTCGATTATTTTCTTTCGGGCCGCGTTATACCGTTTGATGTTTACCGGCCCCGCATAATCGACGGCTGATGATTCGAATGGTCGACCCGGTGTTACTCTTTCTTCTGGCAGGTGTCCCATCAGCTGATGCTGCGTCTCTTTTCTTTGCCGTATGCATGGCACGCACTTTCCTATAGCTGACTTCACTGCGTGTCGACCGCCCAAAATCCAATACCCCTGTCGGATGTATTGTTGTGTGAGTTGTGTCCCTCCATGCAATGTCGCATCGTGAGCTTGCTCGGTGATTAATTTTGCTGTGGTACACTTCCCGCTCAATAATATTGGGTGAATGGTGTCGTATGGCATGTTTGATCTCTTGATTCTTCCGGCTAGCCGCAGAATGCCATCATCGTCCACAAATGGAGTCAACCTTGACAATGGAGACCCCTCTGGTAGGTTTTGTTTGTTGGTTATTGTTTTGATCTCTCTGTCGAAATACGTGCTCTGGCTATGTCGCACCCAAATATTTTCCGCGCTGATGATTTCGTGATCGGCCAGCTGGCCCCTTGTGCGGAATTTCTTCTTTACGGTGAATCTGAGTACGTACGCTGTGATGCGTAGAAGCTTTGCCCAGCTGCTGTATTGGTGTAATAGGCTGCCCCGTTGATTAAGAATAGGCCCATCACTTTCAGTGTGCGCGTTGACGATGGCCACTGTTTTTCGCTCATGGCAGCTAATGACTTGCATGTCTAATTCGGTGAGTACCAGTTTGGTTTCTGGCCATTCCTCTCTGTTGAGCGCTAGCCAATGAGGGCCGTTCCACCACAACCCGTTGTCGACCAATTCCGTAGGCGATATTCCACGCGAGGCCAAATCGGATGGATTGCTTTTCGTATCGACGTGTCGCCATTCGATTCCCACCGTCAACTCTTGGATTTCGCTTACCCGATTGGCAACGAATGTATCCAATTTGGTTGGTGACTTTCCAATCCAATGAAGCGCAATCATTGAGTCGCTCCACAATGTGCAATCGCCTATGTCGACGTCGTGAGCCAATCTTACTTGCTCCAACAACCGTGCCGCAAGATGACATGCCGTCAGCTCCAATTTTGGTATGGTGCTTCCTCTGATAGGTGCCACACGAGCTTTTCCGAAGACCAAGTGTGACGTTGCTGGCTCGTTTTCCCGCTCTTGCCGCAAATAGAATGTTGCGCCATATGCTGACATTGACGCGTCAGCAAATCCATGGATTTGCTTCTTTGATTCCCTGCTGGTGCCTATCCATCGCGGTATTCTCGCTTTGGTGATGTGCGGCATTTCTTCAGCGAATTTTGTCCAGCGATTTAGTATTTCGCCTTGGACTGTGTCGTCCCATTCCACCTTCTCATGCCACAGCTCCTTTAGCACTACCTTGGCGAAAGTCATGATGCATGATAAATAACCGCATGGATCGTATAATCGTGCTATGTCGGACGATACGGTGCGCTTGGTCGCGCCCTCTACTCGTACTGGGTTTTTGATTATGTATTGGAAAGTATCCTCTACCGAGTCCCAGTGCATCCCCAATACCGCTGTCGTTTCCTCCTTGTTGAGCTCGATCATCGATGATCCCGTCGACTTGATGTGCCGACGTACGACTGGGTCATTTGTATTCCATTTTGCCAACTTCATTTTCCTTCTTCCGAACATTTCGATGAGTTCCCCATGCAGCTGGATGGCAGACTCGGCATCATGGCTGCCGCCCAATGAATCGTCGACGTAAAATGACGTTTTGACTGCTTTTGAGGCAGCTGAAAATTCTGTGGCGAATTCGTAGGCCATATAATCCATGGTGCGTATGCTCACGTATGCGGCCGATTTGTTCCTATATGTCTGGGTATTCAATCGATATTCACGGACCGGTTGGTCGGTTGACTCTCTCCACAATATTCGCTGCATATCGCGTTGATCGTCGGCTATCAATATTTGACGGTACATTTTACGGCTGAACCTTCTCTCCGTTCAGCTGAATATCGTTGATCGATATCCCATTTTTTGCCTTGGCGCTGCCGTCGAACACAGTCCGGAACTTCTCCGTGCCCGCGGCGTGATGTGGTATATATATAGCTGTGTCGCTGCGATACTCCTGTGGCGGCACCCTGCTCATATGGTTGAGCGTTTCATAGTCGCGCATGAACTTGATGTAGTTTTCTTTGAGTTTCGGATCGCGGGTGAACTTTCGCTCCATTTGCATCAAGCGTGCGTATGCAAGGTCATACGTACCGATAACCCGGGGTGCATTTGGTTGCAGTGGCATGCGCGCTATGTACCGACCCTCCTGATTGGTCGTGATGCTCCCAGTGAATATGTCTTCACATAACTGCTCTTCCTGTGTTCGGTGCCGTCTGGTCGGTACTTGCTCCTGTTGCCAAAATTTCGAAATCATCGCCAACAGCTCTTCGTTTGAGACTGATGATGCCCCCACTGTGTTTACTATTGATGCGTGCTCAAGTGAATGTTCGTATCCCCCGAACACTATCCATCCAAATGTCGTTCGTTGAGCCGTTGGCGCATTCTTCTTTTTTCGTATGCCGTTGATGATGATTCGACTATAAAAGTCTGCGCCAAGCAGGAGATCCACCTTGTTCGGTATGTGGAATGAATCGTCAGCCAATCTGATCTTTTTCAGATGATTCCATTTGCTTATTTCCAGCTTGTGACTTGGCAAGTTGCCCATCATTTTTGGCACTATATATGCGCCCAAATGCTCGATAACTGTGTCGTTTTGTTTAGACTTTATGTCAAGCCATGCAATGCCCCTGGCTGCCACGACATCCCCACTCAAGTTTTTGATCTGCATGTATGTGGATGTTTTCGACGCTCTTAATGATTGTACTGCATGTCCAGTGATCAAATCAATTTGGCCGCCAAGGTCACAGAGCGCTCGCAACGTTTTTGGGTTGCCTTGGTGATCATTGACGACCACCAAAATGGTGGCAAGTAGTGCGACGCCCAATTCCCGGCCTAGTCACTTCGACGCCTCGATGGCCTGAACGGTCGGCGCCACGTACTTCAAGCACAACAGTCCGTTGTGATTGCCGTTGCAGTGCTTGCAGGGGCCGAGTTTGCATCTGTTTGCATGGCATCGCGGCTTCAGGCACTTCTCACATACATGAAACTGTCGAGCGCGGCGCATGCGTTGATCTACCGGTAGTTTCTTGAACTCCGAGCAACCGAATAATTGATGTTCGCCCTGACACATTGAACATTTCACCGGGATTTTCGCGTAGCTCTGGACCCGTTGTCCACCGTCTTGTTGCGGTTGGGCTCTATTGCCCGGTTGTTGTTGCTGGTTTCCAGCCTGTGGTGGCGTGTAACCAGCTGCGCCTTGTGTTGTTCGATTACTGACTTGTTGTCCCTGTCTGCTTTGCTGAACCGCCGGTCTTTCCCCACCATCGGCACGTTGATTGAGGAAGTCTAGCAACGGCCGCAAACGTGGAATTTCTCGTTGTGGGCGTTCATGTTTCCATAGCGATAACGTCTCTGTGTCGAGTTTGCGCAGCAACAAGTTGACCAATATCGCGTCCCATGACTCAACATTCAGCTCAGGGTATCGTTGCAATGATGCTGTCAAATTGTTGACCCCGTTCATCAGCTGTATCATGTTGTTGCGTGTGGCCGCACTGATTGGTGGCATGTCGATGAATGCATTTATGATCGCGTCGATGATCCGCTGTTTGTTGTCATATTTCTCGACCATCGCTGCCCAAGCTCGCTGATAGTTATCAGCTTCCCGTGGTATTCCGGCAATTGTTCCGAAAGCCTCACTGTCTCTTTCAATGCAATCATCCAAGCGCAAGAACTTCGTCAAATCGTCCAAGTGAGGATTGTTGTGGAAAAATTGCTCCCATTTCGCTTTGAAATTCGGCCACTCCTTATCATTGCCCCCAAAGCGATCAAATGACAAACGCTTTAAGGAGATGTTTTCGAGTGGATTGGATCCGTTGCCTGTGTTGGCTTTCTTTTTTGATGGATCGAGTTCACTGAGTCTGATGAGCACCGCTGTCTTCACTGTTGAATACAGCTCGTCTGCATTCATTATGTACTCTTCCAATCTGCTTGCCCATACCGGCGTCAGGATTTTCGAGCGCTCGATTGAATCTGCTCTCTGAATGATTCGCTCGTGATATTGCTTGAGCAGATCTTGTTGAGATTGAACTGCTTCAATTCTTAATGTCGGGTCTTGCAAGCGGCTCTCGATTCGTTGAATTCCCAGCATATTTTTGTTGTAATACTCGTGGAACGAATTGAAAACCTGTGTCGATTGTTCATTATAACCTCGTTTCGCGCTTTCATCATCATTGATCGAAAGATTTTGCATTCCACTCAATGGTGAGTCGTTTCGAGGTAGCTGTGGTGCGGCTGACGCGCGATGGCTACTTGGTGCTGGATTGTCACGGTATAATCCCAACGTTGACATTCCGCTTTGACCCGGTTGCTGTGATGCAACCACTCTCGCTGGTATTTGTTGATGCATTGATGTACGTATGATTTCATCAGCTGCGGCATTGTAGTGTGCCGATGCCGTGTACACTCCCGGTGTATCTCGCGCTTCGGAGTACGTGGTTGCAGTGGTTGCCGCACCATCCACCCGACTAACGGTTAGCAATGATGCCTCAATTTCTGGCTGTGGTGCCGTCTCCCAGAAAGTAGCAGCCTTTTGCTGTGTCACGCGTTCATTAGCTGGATATAACGGCATGTATGGTCGCGTTCTTACGTCACGTGATAAATTCATTTTGCTGTGTTGCTATGTTGTGACATGAATTTGTTGTGGCACATTCATTTTTGATGTCGTAATCACATTCATCTTAGTCGGCTGTGGTGCTGACCGTTGAGTTACCGACGACAATGCCGTGTTCGACGATGCATCCGAGTGAGCATGTGATTGCCGAATCGCAGTCGCCTGCGTGACAATTGGTTGCTGAGTTTCCATTGCGACCGTCGAAAAATCACCAAATGTAACGTTTATTGCCTGTGATGGCACGGTTGGATTTTGCACCGCGCCTGCTTGGTGTATGGCATTTGTGTACACACTTGTTGTATGAGCAACAGATGAATGTCCGCTTATCACTGAATACGATGATGAGTTCGTTGCAGAGGGGCGAAACCGAACTGTCATCATCAATTACAACGCGGCTGTCAGAATAAAGTACAAATTAAATACACGCCAGACAGTCTTAAGTGCACCTTCGTAGAACGACTCGTTGAATTTGAACTATTGAAAAAGACAACGTATTTTCGTGAACGTATATTATTCATGGAGTGAATAAAAATGATAAAATCAAGTGGAAAATGAATATTTGTGTAAAATTATGTTGTTTCTTTATTTCCTATTTAAATGCAATGAATGATTTGGATGACACATCCACATTATCAAATTTAGAAAAATGTTTCCAACATGAACATATTTATCTAAGTTTTCTTTAGATTTGCTGATGTTCAAATGAATTTTGAAATCAATTAATTCAATTTTCTCATTTTTTACGTTCGCTTCCTACAAAATGAGCTTGAAAATGTGTTTCAGGAGCCATGGGAATAAAGTGGCTCCTTAAACACACAATGGCTTTGTTCTACCGAGTGCACAAATTTGTTCTACACATTGAACATGTCAGTAGATACTTAACCTCACTTTGTCAATCAAAAACAAGAAAAATGTTAGCAAAGAATTTCTGAGCAAAAAAAAAGAAAGTTCATATTCTTTTTCGGTATTTTTTCAAACGTTTCTAAAATGTTATTAAAAATGGGTTTTCATATTAATACACTAGGTATATTTTTATAAATAATTGAAATATATTTTAACCAGAATGCTTGAAATATGTACTCATGTACTTATGCATACTTTTAGCGCGTTCCGCAACGAATGACAACCGACTACGCGGTCCCCGTTGTAGTTTGACAGTTCGGTTTCATGGCTCTGGTTCGTTGCTTGCTGTCAATGGTGAGTCCTTTGTTTGGTTGAAATGCACTGGCTACTGAGCTGGTTTCACTATGTTGTGAAATTGCCACGAGTTCAGCATTATTTGCGGCGCCAGCAATTTCTCCCGCCCGATTTGGTTCAACCGACTCCGATTGTTGATTGTTGCTTTGAACATTTTGCTCCATGGTTTGCTGTGTCGCAATTTCATTTCCACGTCGGTTTTGATCAGACCACTTACCGGCAATGTGCTGGTTGCCCGTTTTGGCACGGTTCCAGTTGGTGGCTTGGTCGCCGTTCTAGACGAATCCAAATTTGCTCGTCCGGCACTGTTGATGTTTTTTTTTTTGTGTCGATTATTTACCGATTCTCAATGCTTTGTTTACTTTTAGTTTGCTGAAATTGATTTCAGAACACTTATGATGCGTATTTTTCACTTTGGGAATTTTAGCGCGTGGCTTTGATTGTTAAACTCAAACTTGTTTCTGCACTGTCTGATGGTTGACACTCGAATCGTCACAATGATGTGATGCTGTGTTGCATAGTGTGTGGCTATCATATTGCGTTGTATATGTGCATGTACGTTTATGTGCGTCCAATGTCGGTCGTCCTGTGTGTGGCTATGCCAATCGATGCTGTGTTGCTCGTTGTGCCTAATTGCCTACTGCCATAAATCCTCTCATTTTACGACTTCAGCATGTTTGTTTTGTCGATATTCAATCGATGCACATTTTTATGAAATGTGATATTGGTTCCAAATGTTTGGCAGTTTATTGCTGTGTCACATTTTGTCGCTATGTTGCTTTCTTTTTATGGCCAGATTTTGGGAATTTTCCCGACGTAGACCGTAATTTTTTCAGTCGCCTACGTTGAAGTGTTGTTGTCATGTTGTGTGCACTCTTATCTATGTTGATGCTTCACGAGAGTAAATCCCCGCACATGTGTTGACCGTTGATCAGGCGATCGTTTGTGCGGTCTTTTTCCGAGAAACCCGATGATTTATTTTGCTCTCTTCAGATTTCTCTATGTTGAGTGTCTGTGACGACAAATTTCTTGCACGAAATGATTCGTCTCGCTGTGGTGCGTTGTGAGAAAAAATGCTTGTGACCGTAAACTGTTGGTCTGCCGTTTTTTCTCACAGTCGAAGGACCATGTTGAGAATTAAAGTAAAGATGAGAAATAAAAATGCGTTGCGTACGATTTAACAAATTTATTCGATGTTCACAAACTCACGTCTACCATAATACTGAATCTTTCTTCGCTGTGGCGCGACTATTTATTCTATTCTAAATACGCATATGGCTGCTTGATTTTTTCACTCTTAATTCTGGTTTTCTGTTCAACTTTGAACACTGATAGTATCGAAGATGCAATCGAAAAATTAAATGAAATTAAAAAAAAACGAAAAAACAATCTACTATGCCAAAACAAATTAAAACTAAATGTAACTAAAACAAAAGGAATGGTGATCACTAACCAAAATATCGATAGAAATGAGATAAATATTTACATAAACGGGCAAAGACTTAAAATTGAAAATAGAATAAAATATCTGGGAATTATTATTGGTGGAAAACTAAATTTTAATGAGAACATTGACCATGTATGTAAGAAAATAGGAAGCAAAATTAGCGTAATTGGAAGATTAAGAAATGAATTGAACTGCAGCCTAAATTTATATAAGTCAATTATAGAACCACATTTTATTTATTGTGCTTCCATTTTGTATTTATCCAACAACACAGATATAAGTCGTTTGCAAAAAC